TATCATATTTTTCTCTCACTAAAAAATGGGACTCGAAAGACACTTGGCGAAAGATGAGAGGAATTTCATACAACTTATGTCTGCCATGTAATAATTATGTCTCACGCATAATAAAATTGTGTCTCATGCAAGAAATTTTATTATGTGTGATATATGCCACATAATACTTGTGTGAGGGATTTATTATATGTGCCACGACCCAAAATTCATAAAGGTCGTGATGGCGTCGGACATCACTGTCAGGCAAGCCAACAATAATTATTTAATTGGTTTCTTATTTTATTTTATTTTTTTGAAATCATATTTTCCTTCAATTTAAATAGTAAAGAATGAGGATTTACAGAGTAAATAATAATACTTTTAACAAATTCAATACAGAACAACCCATAATCATCCCAAAACCCGATGTCACAAGTGCATGAGCATTAACTAGGAATATAAAATAAAATACAGCAGTTGTCCGAAATACAAATTGGACAGAAAAAATGTAAATACTCTTAAGGAGACTCTGCTGGCTGTGGGTCGACAAATGGAATGCAGCTCACCTAGGTCCCCGCATGTATACACGCCTCTGCTCTCACATGGCCTCTAGACATATATGTACCTGCACAAAAATGTGCAGCAAGTGTAGTATGAGTACGTAAGCAACGTGTACCCAGTAAGTATCTAGCCTAACCCCAGAGAAGTAGTGATGAGGGGTCGACATCGACACTCACTAGTGGTCCAACAACATAAGGTACAATAAAGATGTAGTAAATATGAGGCAGAGTAAGTAAGTGAAATAGACAAATATAGATCACGTGGTACAAATTCCCTCTCTTTACGAGGAACTCAAGCTCTTCATTAGAAATTCCCTCCTTAACCGGAGCATATATATAGGTATAGTAAAACTCATCAAGTGGCTACCATAATTCAAATCCGGAATTTACAGATACACTGGCTTCTTGCCAAGTTTTACGCACGATTTCATGGGAGTGTGATATAGGAAATGCCGAGGCGTACGGCCCGATCCAACATAATAATAAAATTGTGCATTATCGAGGGTCGACGTCCCGAACCATATGATAAATCAATTAACCTGCCGAGGAGAACGACCCGCTCCCATGAGAGTGTGGTATATAAATCCTGCCGAGACGAACGACCCGATCCCATAAGAAGTGAAATACAAATTCCTGCTGAGGCGAACGACCTGATCCCATAAGAAGTGAAATATAAATTTCTGCCGAGGCGAACGACCCGATCCCATAAGAATAAGAGATTTTGACAGGTCCTTGACCCCACTCACGAATAAACATGTGAGTTATAATTTCTTTAACAAAACCCTTTCGATGAAATGTGTATATATATATATATATATACATACATGCCGTAAGAGGAGTAAAGTTACTCGGTGACTAATCGTGAAATCGTGAAGTCTCTATAATAGCAAGTCTACTCTTAAGTAGAAAGGAAAAATAAAGAATTAAACGAGCATGGAAAATCCCTATAGTACAAGTACAGCATGGTGTGAACCAAAGTCTACCCGGACAATAACATAAATCTAACTACGTACGGACTCTCGTCACCTCGTGCATACGTAGTCCCCGCAACAAGTTGCACACATTAAATACATCACCTAGGGGTAGTTTTCCCCCTCATAGAGTTAGACATGAGACTTACCTCGCTTCGAAGTTCTATAACCGGCTCCAACGCCGCTCTAACACCTCAAACTGATGCATGTCGCTCCAAAACTAGTCAAACAATATGCAAACCAATAAGGATATACTCTAATACTCGTGACAAATCAATTTAGACAAATTTCCAACTCCGTTTGAAAAGTCGATAAAATCACCGTCAGGCCCACGTGCCCGGATTCCGAAATTTTTTGAAGATAGTTGTTACCCATAACCTCACAAACTCAAATATATAATTTATTTTCAATTCCATGCCCAAATTCGTGGTCAAAATTCAAAAATACCAATTCTAGGTTTTCTATCAAAAATCTCACAATTTCTACCAACTTCTATGCTTGAATCCATATAAAAAATCATGTATTTAACTTGTAATAAATGAAAATCACTTACCTTGTATTGCTTGATAGAAACCTCCCTTTGAAGCTCTCCAAAATCGCCCCAACCAAATGAAAAATGAAAGAAAATGGGCCAAATCCCCGTTCTTAAAGAACCGTTCTGCCCAGCGAATCCCGCACCTGCGGCCGCTTCACCGCATCTGCGGTCTCGCAGGTGCGGCCAAAACCTCGCAACTGCGCATGCCCTCTGTCCAGCACAGCTCCGCACTCGCGATGCCAAACGCGCCCCTGCGGTCTCGCACATGCGGAGACCTTCCGCTTTTGCGACTCCAGCTGCCAGCTCGCATTCCGCTTCTGCAGAGCTTTCCTCGCATCTACAGGCTCACAGATGCGGAAACATCATCGCATCTGCGGCCATCCCAGCTCCGTCCAGGTGTCACTTCTGCGACCCAATCGCCCCACTTGCGGGCTCGCAGCTATGGCCCTATTCACGCAGGTGCGATTGCACCAGGTATCAATTGCCTCATCACTTCTTCCAAGTCCAAACTCGGTCCATTTACCATCTGGAATCTACTCGGGGCTCTCGGGACCTTAACCAAGTATAGCAACATGTCCCAAAACACATTACGAACTTAATCGAGGCCTCAAATCACGCAAAATAACATCGAAACTACGAATCACCCTCCAATTCAAATTTAATGAACTTTAGAACTTCAAACTTCTACCTTTGATGCCGAAACCTATCAAATCACGTCCGATTGACCTCAAATTTTGCACACAAGTCATAATTGACATTACGGACCTACTCAAGCTTCCGGAATCGGAATCCGACCCCGATATCAAAAAGTCCACTCCCGATCAAACTTTCCAAAAATCTTCAAATTTTTATTTTTCGCCAAATGACTCCGAAATGACCTACGAACCTCCAAATCCACTTTCGGACACGCTTCCAATACCAGAATCACCATACAGAGCTATTCCCAGACTCGGAATCCCAAACGGACATTGATAACATTTGAAATACACCCCAACCCAATTCTTTTGAAATTCTTCTAAAATGCCAATTTTCATAATAGGTGTCGAAACGCTCCCGGATCATCCAAAAACCGATCCGGACATACGTCCGAGTCCAAAATCATCATACGAACCTGTTGGAATCTTCAATTCCCGATTTCGAGATCGTTTACTCAAAAAAATCCCAGTTTGGGTGATTCTTCCAACTTAAGGCTTCTGAAATTTGAATTTTCTTTCCAAATCAACTCCAAATTTCCCGAAATTAAAATCCGACCACGCGTACAAGTCATAATACCTGAAGTGAAGCTTCTCGAGGCCTCAAACTGCTGAACGACGCGCTAAATCTCAAAATGACCGGTCAGGTCGTTACATTATGACAAGTGTACTATGGAGCACATCTGTCAAAACAATTCCACCCACCAAACCCTCAGTTGCCGATCTCCTCTATTCTTTACCACTTTTGAGTTTTGATTTCATTTCTACACCCATAAACTAATTTTCTTTTACACCCATAAACATTAATCAACAGAATCATCTCATCGCCCCACCCTATTCATCGTCCAAACACCATCGTCTACGCCTCCTTAGAAGATCTCCTTCATTCCATAAAATATAAAAAAGCCCAAGGATCCCCAATTGTCACTAAATCACTATTTCATGCAAGAATAATGCAAAAAATCATCTCACCGTCAAAGAAGCAGCTTTCCACAATAAAAACCACCTTACTTGCGGCCACTTAACGGCAACACAATAGTAATGGTGGTTGTTATATATTTTTTAGATTTTTTTTTGGTGTTGTTACCATGAATCCCAAGAAAAAAAACCCAGTCATCAACCAAAAAATATACTCAATCAATTACTTATCAGATCCAATTTTACAAATTAATTCTTAAGCATAGGCATCTATTATGTGACAATGCTGATTAAATATGTAGAAAGTAGAAATTTTTATGATTTTTGTTTAAGCTAGTAAATAAAAAGAACAGAAAAGAAAAATAGGAAAGAGGATAGTTTAAAAATTGAGAGAAACATAATGCCAAAGATGAGAGGAATCTCTCATGCAACTTATGTCTACCACGTATAAAATTTCTCGGGCAATTAATTTGTCTTGGGTCTGCCTTTGTTCATCCTCTTTCTCTGCTTCATCTTTAAATTTTCTTTTATCTCAAGTTTACCAATTTTGCTGCTACTTCCGACATCACCGGTTAATCGGAGCTCTTTACACTTATTTGAGTTCTTCCTTGGTTTAATTTCGTTCTCCTTAATTGTTTTGGTTCTTCCTTGATTTTGATTTTGTTTCCCTCATTGTCTATCATCATCATATAAAAGCTAAAGAAATACCACACCCACTTGTATATATCTATATACCTGTCACTTGACTTTTTCAAGCTGGCTGCTGAGTCCGCACTTCCCATTTTTGTGCTCTAGAAGTTGGTTGCTACTTGCTAATGGAGTTGGTGAGTCCTCCATTTTCCTTTAACAACTTCCCTATTTTTGAATTTCCTTTAATATTGGTCTTTCAAAAAAAAATGTTAAAGAATTTGAAATTGGTTTGGCTTCCTTCAGTCACCTAACTTTGTTAGACTTGTACCAACCCACATTGCCTTAACTTTCGAAAAAATAAAAAGAACATTTTTTTATTTTTATGTTTAAGTTCTTTTTTTTTTTCTTTTATATTTTGAGGGGTGAGATTCTTGAATTGTGGGGGGTGAGGTTTTTTTTTCAGGTTGTGGAATCAGGGGTGAAGAAGATGGAGGGGGGAGAGGCAATGAGGAGGAACCAAACTCTAATTTGTGCACCAATTATGGCTGACACAGTGGATCAAATGTTGAATCTAATGCAAAATGCTAAAACTAGTGGTGCTGATCTTGTGGAGGTTCGGTTGGATAGCTTGAAAAGCTTTAATCCTCAATCAGATATTGATACTATTGTCAAACAGTCCCCTTTGCCTACCCTTTTCACTTACAGGTTTTAATTCCAAATTTAAGCTCCAAAGTTTGTCTCTTTACACTAATGAATGTGTTATATCTGAATTGGGTTGCTCAAGTTTGTTCCTTTGTGTGTGTGTGTGTTGATTCTTTTGTGTTTGTGATAGCTGGAAGCTGATAGCGATGATTAAGATTCTATCTTCTTTTCTTGTTTTGCTTGGAAATCCAAAAATAATAAGGAGAATAAGCTTGACCAGTATTAATTTTAAGGATTCAGGACTTCTTACTGCAAGCTGAAACAGAAAAATTGAAAATGAGCGGGGGAGAGATATGTAGCATACAGTAGCAAATTCTTGTTTTGATAAGGGAGGGATAGGCTAGTGGAAAAGGTTCTCCACCTTCAAGGCTCCAACCATGAGTTGGAGAGTTTGAGTCACCAAGGGGACAAGCAGGAAAAACCATTCTTGCCCCATTCCGAGGAGAGAGTTTTTTTTGGGGGGTGGGGGGTTTACCATATCGAGAGAAAAGGACTCTGGAACTGAACAAGAGACTTACCTGATTAATGCTCTGATCCTTAATGAAATGGCCTTAAGCATGACCTCTGCTTAGGTTGATAAGATTAGCCAAGTGTAGTCAGCTTTTGGCTGGAAGAAATGCTATAGCTTCAAAATTTTGTAGTCATAAAGAAGTGTAATGCATCGGTTTAAAAGAGAAATTGACTGATATGTCGAATCTCCACCGAATCTCTAGCCAATTTCTACAATGAAGTTTTATAACATTCCATCCTCCATTTTGTTTTGAAGCCTTTTTCTGTTCAACTTCATACTGAAAATGTATATTTTTTATCTGTTGCTATGGAAGGTTACATCCCTATTTGTTAAGCAATCTTTGCCCCTAGGGTTTTGGTCTAGTGGTAAAAGCGCAATTCGTGATGTGCGGGTTAGGTGCACGTCACGGGTTTGAACTCTGCCGCAAACAAAAGCCTGGTATTTAAAGTGGATAAGGGTTGGGGAGGGGGGCTAGTATCCACTGAGCTTTGAACCGTGCGCCACGGGCCCTCGAGGATTTCTTGGTTATTATGTGTTCTCTTTTCTTTCGGTTAAGAACTTGTCACCAGCTTGACTTGCAACAAATTAGAGCACAGAACGAGCCCCTACTTGCAAGCACTGCCTTAAAAATAGGATGAAAAGGAATGGAAATACTTTCCCCTGGTTGATCGCTTCACCTTTGATTAGTACACAGTATGTTCTTCGATTTGCAGCTATACTTTTGGTGTGAGGCAGAGGGTAAATATTAGCAAGGTAATATCTGATATATCCTGTAGATACACAACATAAGGAGCATCAAAATCTAGCTTAGACTGTTCTAAAGGCAGAGAGGTATGATTGCTTGCTACTTTATCTAATTTGTCCCTGCACTCGGGAAGACATTAATGGCACTAGGATCTTTTCTATATAAGTTTTGAGCCGTTGACTTTCTCATCATTGGCTTTTTCAGGACACCAATTGCAGGAACTCAGAAAGATATTAATTTTTCTGTCTGGCTTAGTATAACGTAAATGAGCCATTTTCTTTATTTATATTGATCCATATCCTGTAGATACACACATAAGGAGCATTAAAATCTAGCTTAGACTGTTCTAAAGGCAGAGAGGTATGATTGCTTGCTACTTTATCTAATTTGTCCCTGCACTTGGGAAGACATTAATGGCACTAGGATCTTTTCTATATAAGTTTTGAGCCGTTGACTTTCTCATCATTGGCTTTTTCAGGACACCAATTGCAGGAACTCAGAAGGATATTAATTTTTCTGTCTGGCTTAGTATAACGTAAATGAGCCATTTTCTTTATTTATATTGATATTCTTGTTCGTCAACAACCTGTGCTTCTTCAGTTTTATGATGCATGTTTACACATGGAAATCTGTGAACCACACTTCAATAACACAAGCAGGATAAGCATGTGCTGGATTTTGGTGTAATGACTATTAAACAGTTTCAACCTTATAAAACTAGGACACTTCTATGTCTTCATGCAAGATATTCAGGGCTTGACTAGCTCTGAGTTCAACCTTATGATAGAATTTGTAGCAGCTGTTGCGAACAAGTGATAACAAATATTTGTTCTTTTATAATAAAGGGCAGTCCGGCGCACTAAGCTCTCGCTATATGTCGGGTCCAGGGAAGGGACATATAATTACAGTTTACGTTTATAATTCTAGCTCTACTTCCTGATTTATAGTTCTCCTCTTACTTCATTTCAAATAATGTTTTTCTCTTACTTCTAGACATTGAGAAGTGCATTCTAAAATTTTCCGACGTTGCCCCCGTTTCTAGGCCCACTTGGGAAGGTGGTCAGTATGCTGGTGATGAAGCTAGTCGACTGGATGCACTTCGATTAGCAATGGAGTTGGGAGCTGATTACATTGATGTTGAGCTAAAGGTATTGATTCTAAACAACAATGGCCCTTCCCACCTTATCCCAGAAAATAAAATAAATTATAAAATGATTGCCTTTCCCTGAGTAGCTGCAGCTAATTGTCCTCAAACGGAATTCAGTTAAAGCATAAGAATAGGTGTATTAACTTGCCAGTTTTGTATTGAGACTTTTAACGTGACTTTTTTTGAAATGTATGGCCTATGATGCTTCTTGCATGAAGAAACATTGATCAATTTTGCAAACTAAGGATCACTTCCTGTTGGTTATTACATAAATGTTAAATATATGATATCTAAACCTTTGCTAGCTTTAAATCGATATTCTTTATATTTTGAGTCGTCATTTCTTCTTCCTTTTTGCTTTGACAGACACTTGATCAATAAATAATAATTGCTGCTTTTTGTTTCTTTTTCTCCCACTCCTTTAGGCTATTGACGAGTTCAATACTGCTCTACATGGAAATAAGTCAGCAAAATGCAAAGTTATTGTTTCTTCTCACAACTATGATAATACCCCATCATCTGAGGAGCTCGGCAATCTAGTAGCAAGAATACAGGCATCTGGAGCTGACATTGTGAAGTTTGCAACAACTGCACTGGATATCACTGATGTTGCACGTGTATTCCAAATTACTGTACATTCTCAAGTAAGCAGCGTAAGTGGTATAGCAAGTTTTTTATGCCATAACTTGCTTTCAAATTTGTTTGGTGATAAATCATGGTTTCTCTTGAGCTGGTTTTGGTGCGTGATAATAATAGCTTGAATCTAGAAGCAGGCTGCTTCTTGTAGATTTGTATTAGGCCACACACACCAATAAGTTAGGTATAGTTGGATAAACTTCAGGCCGGGTATATATTTATGACCTAGATATATGCTAAGGGCAATGAGAGGGACAAAGACATTGAGAATAGCTTCCAAAATTAACTGTCTTTCTTTCCCTCTCCCTTTCTCTCCCTGAAAAAGGTGGGGGTTTGTTAAATTTTTTTTAATTATCTGATGATTTTTCCCATTGCAAGAAGAACTCAAAGGTAGATAGTAGAACAATATTGTTGTATGTGTCGATGCCTTTGAGACATTTTCTCAAGTGAATGACATTTGAAATCCCTTGTCAATTAAGGGGCCTTTCGTATGTCAAGTGATGAGGTTGTATTATATGTTGTTGGGCTGAAATAAGGTGATTTGTGGGTGATAGATTATAACATCACTGGATTCTAGTTAAGACTGATGGATTCTTATTTGGTGAGACCCAATAGGCTGGACAGCTCTAGGGACTTAATATTGTGAGACCGACACTCTCAACCTTGTATGTTCTATTGAATTTAAAAATAATCCGCTCCAATCATAAGCTGGTTGTCATCATGTTGAAGTTCGTTTTTTCCTGCTCTCACTATAATATTATTAACATGCATAAATGCAGAAATGTATTTATTTGTTATTTAGGTTTTGTTATGCAAAATATATTTGTCCTCCATCTCCTTAAGCCTCTGGCTTTCTTTTTCTTTCTTTTGAGTTTGCTGCTTGACTGTGAGCTTGCTTGCATTCTGAGATGCTTCTCATGATTAAACAATAATGCATTTCTTGCACTTTGTTCAAATAGGTACCAATAATAGCCATGGTCATGGGAGAGAAGGGTTTGATGTCTCGAATACTTTGTCCAAAATTTGGTGGATACCTCACATTTGGTACTCTTGAAGTGGGAAAGGTTTCAGCTCCTGGGCAACCAACAATTAAAGATCTTTTGAATATATACAATTTCAGACAGTTGGGACCAGATACCAAAATATTTGGCATTATTGGGAAGCCTGTTAGCCATAGCAAATCACCTTTATTGTATAATGAAGCTTTCAGATCAGTTGGGTTTAATGGTGTTTATATGCCTTTGCTGGTAGATGATGTTGCAACTTTGTTTCGGACTTACTCATCTTTAGATTTTGCTGGCTTCAGGTTTGCTCTCAAAACAGAAACTGGTAGTTTATACAGTTGCTTTTTAGTTTCATCAGGGTAGTCATGCCAAATTCCCCCCTTTCTCACATCTTAAAAAGTATCACTTACATCTACATGTATATACCATATCTCATGGGGTTGAACGTACGTACTGGATTTTTCTTTTATGTTTTGCTTTCTGTTTATTTTTGTTTTTCATGGGTCATCCTTGCGTTCTTCCAAAATTTTGTGTGTGTCGGCCATGCCTAATAAATATAATTCATATGCATGTTTACTTGTTTAGAAGTAGTTATGCAACTTTATGTTGTGCAGCTGTACAATTCCTCACAAGGAAGCCATTGTCGACTGCTGTGACGAAGTTGATCCTACCGCTAAGGTATTAGTTATATCATGATCTTATAATGCTTTTCAGTTGTTTTTTATTTGTTTTGTATTTTTACAGGGATCAATATTGCAAAATATTCTGATGATTTCTTATATCACATGCAATTACTTGGTTTCTTAATTATCCTGCAGTTGATAGGGGCTGTCAATTGTGTCGTAAGGCGACCTGATGGGAAGTTGTTTGGTTGCAATACAGACTATGTGGGTGCAATCTCCGCCATTGAAGAAGTGTTGCAAGGTCAGAGTCATTTTATCAGCTGCAAACATCCTTTTCTGAAGTTAGAGCTTCTTAATGTTTGAGCTTTGTTATTTCCTTGTACAGGCTCACAGCCAATTATGTCTGGGTCACCCTTAGCTGGTAAATTGTTTGTAGTCATTGGTGCTGGCGGCGCTGGCAAGGCACTTGCTTACGGTGCAAAGGAAAAGGGGGCTCGGGTGGTGATTGCTAACCGTACCTATGGTAGTGAAATTCCGTGTAGCTAATGACAATTGCTGAAGTTGACTATGTTACTTTGTACTGATGTGCTGTCTGATTACTTGAAGAACGAGCAAGAGAACTTGCTGATGTAGTTGGAGGTCAGGCTTTGTCTCTTGACGAGCTTAGCAATTTCCATCCAGAAACTGACATGATTCTTGCAAATACCACCTCCATTGGCATGCAACCAAAGGTTGATGATACACCAATCTCTAAGGTTTGCCTCCTTGCATTACTCGTCTTAGATAAAACAACTTGTTATTGAATCCATGTCTTATTAGTTGAACAGCTGCATGGTTAATATCATGCACAGTAAATGGGTAAACAAAGAGGGTTCAGTATTAAAAATACAAGCTTTATAAATTAGAACGGGGCAGAATTTTTTAATTTCATTTTGTTTGGGGGGTCGGTGGAGATCCCTTTTTTTTTTCTTATTTTCTTTTTCCCTCAATTAGCTCATACCCAGCATTCAAGAATTGCTTCATGTGTTTCACTGTTTTCTCAGAGGGTTCAATATTGGAAATACATGCTTTACAAATTTGAATGGGAGCGGAGCTTTTATTTCTTTTCTTTTGCTTGGAAAAATATTTTTCCGTCTATTACCTTCATATCCAGCATTCAACAATTAATTCTTTACGTTACACTGTTTTAATAAAGAATAGAGATCTAACCATAAACCTGAAGTATCTTTGTAAAGAAGTCTATGTTTGGTAACCGTATTTATTGCTCATCTCTTTCTCACAGAAGTAGCAAAAGATATATGGGTTGTTCTTTGGTTTTGATCATAAAGAAATTAAGAAGTTTGAGGAAAGTGTATGTATGTTCCGGACCATAATGTGTGTGTAATCCTAATTCCTATATAGATAGATATCAACCTTCTTTAAGTTAAAGAACCCAATTGTAGGCCTTTCATAACCTTACAAACCTGCCTAGTCAACAGATGATGTATCTAAATATATACCTTTATTGTCCTTACGGAAAAGGTTCAAAACTACCCCTATCGTTTTGTAAATGGTGTAAAATTACCCTCCATCCACCTTTTGGTCAATAAACACACACAATGTTATCTTTGTGCTTAAATTTACCCCTCCCGCCAATGGCACAATATCAAAAACACAGCCAACACATTAAAATGGAGCCCACATATTGTGCCGTTAGCGGGAGGGGTAAATCTAAGCCCAAATATAACATTGTGTGTGTTTATGGACCCAAAGGTAGACGGAGGGTAATTTTAAACCATTTACCAAATGATAGGGGTAGTTTTGACCATTTTCTGTTGTCTTTATAAAAAATTATATACCTTGTTGTCATGGCTCACAATCTCAAACTTCCTCCTCTATTCTTCGGTTCTTCGAGGAATGGCATTCCATGAGTGGTTTAAACGGAAGTTCTGGTCTATGTAAGGAGTATTTTGGTGATTTCTTCCATTGGAAGAATAATGGGATAAAACAGATAAGACCTGTTCTGTCAGAAATGGAAGTGGTTGTAAGAATCCACTTCAAGATCATGGTCTGCTGCTTTCAATCTGAGCTTTACTCATTGTTAAATGCTTCTAACGCTGCTTCTGTTGAAATAGGGTGTCGTTGACAGGTTTGATATAAGATGTGGGCGGATAACTGGCATTTCAAAAGCAGCAAATAATTTCATGCTTTATTTTCTATAAGACAGACAAAATGCACGCTCAAGTTCGACATTTCTGTGGGTCAGAAAAAACTAACTTTGGTCCTGAGGAAGCTGGATGCACTATTTTCAGCAGAATAGCCCATGAAATTGATAGAACATATAGTCGGGGCAGAGCATTTGTGGCTAAAAGAATAAATCTCCATGTTGCTAGGTCGTTGCAGCCAATAACATAAAGACTAGTTTACTGTTAGCCAATCTTCTTAACCAATACATGCACACACGCAAACACACACTGTCATCCAATCTTGATTCACAAAAAGCTCTTGTCCAACTCCTTACATCTTCTACTTGTGGATAGTAAAACATAACCCTGGGCATGAACTTAGCTGCCCGCTAGCCACTCAGGTTTTGGATATAACCGCAATTTTATGATTTTGAAAAGTGAAGCGGATCAAATGAGAAACTATTATTGGTGTCTATTTAAACATGAGCAAGATATCTTTCTGGTAACTTGAACTTACCATCGACAGCTATAAGGAGGATAATGTTAAACAGACGTGTATCACATTCTTGGGCATCTCAATGCCAATTAGCTTCCCATGAGATATTCTTCAGTGTTGTTCTTAGTTTTACTTAATTTTTCTTCAGCAATGAACTTCAAAATGTGCCTCATTTGCTAATGGAACTTTTCAGCACATACTATACTGGGGTGTCCGTTTTCTCTATGTGACCTCGTGCAGGTTTAATGTCAGTTTACATCACTATTTCCTGAAACCGTTTCCCGTCATCTAAGATTCTTCTTATTATTCAAATAGACGTATATTTTTTGCTTCATGCTCGTACATGCTATTTGTACTGATAAAACGTTGTTTAAATTTCGATGAACTGCTTCCAAATTACAGGAAGCTTTGAGGTACTACTCACTTGTATTTGATGCTGTTTATACGCCCAAAATCACTAGACTCTTGCGGGAAGCTCAAGAGAGTGGAGTAAATATTGTAACAGGAGTTGAAATGTTTATCGGGCAGGCATATGAACAATATGAGAGATTTACAGGGTTGCCAGGTAATTTTTAAGATAAGTTCATTCCTCAACTTGTCTGGTCAAGGCATAACACTGGCACTGATTATCCTTTTCGTGTGGTGATTCTTCTCTTGAAACTCCAGCTCCAAAGGAACTTTTCAAGAAAATTATGGCTGGATATTGAGAACAAGGTCTCTTTCCCTTTTCAACGCGGCCTGCTAATTACTTTTCCTCCTAAATCCTACATGATTCTGTAATAGCAATGCTCTTAGATTCCTCTGTCCTACCATTTGTGCTTCGGAAGAATTAATTCGTTCCAGGTAAATCGCGTTTTTCACCAAAACAACTTCTTGAGGATGTTCAGAAAAAGCAGTCAGACATACCAGTGGACAATCACCATCATTCTGGCTTATATTAAACTCTTGTAGCACCTCATTCTTTGACAACTATGGTTCTTTGGGAGGAAATTTCTTTTGTACCTCTAATTCTGGTGTCATCAAACACAGATTTATCCAGTGTTTCATCATTGTAACCCCCATACTGGGAAATCCTCTTGATTATCATTATTATTAAATCTTGTCACATTATTGTATCACACCAAAACAGTTTTTTACTTGAGTTCATTGTCTTGGGAATACAACATTGATTTATTTTGACTTTTGAGTAGCAAGCGTGGTCTACTGCATGTTTGACATTTTAGCCAATCCAGGTCTGCGTGCCGGTCCCACTTTTTCTGGGCTGCCATGTTTTAAGGTCAAAAGTGCCCATGAGGCAAGCGGGGGTCAAAAAATCAAGACCATCCATTTTCAAGATCGCTGGGTGTAATTTCCGGATATTTTAATGTTGGTGTGATTATGGGTAACATGATGCACATGCTTATTGTAATGTGTTTTACATGTGACACAATGGCAATAGAATTAATTTTGCTAAGTATTTTAACACACTAATTTTTAAGGCTTAGCTTAGCTATTATATGATTTGCTTGTAAGAAATTGAAAGGTGTTATAAGAAAAATCAAATTATGGTGGATGTCTACTCTTCCTCCATGATCTTCTCAAATGCTTAATGACATATTCAATGATATATTTTTCTTCACTTTTCATGCCTATATAAAGGCCTTGTAATAGATAGGAAAATACACACAATTGAAGAAGAAAATCTCTTCCTTCTCTCTATCTCCATTTCTTGTTCATGTTTTACTAAATTGATTTTATTTCATAACAACATGTCTTGTTCATGTTTTACTAAGTTGCTTTTATTTTATAACACGTTATCAGCACGAATTGCTCATTTCATGATCTTCTATGTCAAGACTATGTAAATTATAAGCAGGCAATGAGATCAAGTACTTTGAAAAATGTCTTGGATGATAATACAAAGATAAGTTTTACATCCATCTAAACCCATTCATATTTTCATATCTTTGCATTAACTTTATGTGCAGTGTTTAGTAAAAATATTTTTTTCAATTGTATCCAGTGAAATAAAGAACTGGAAAGGTATGTCTTTATTTGCTACATCTCTTATAGGACAAAGATAATATTCCAACGTATATATATGTTCTGACCTTTTACATACTATGATAGATAATTATTAAGGTAATTTAGTAATAATATTTTTACCATCACATGATGTATTTCATTGAAAGCAAAATTATCAAATATGTAGGCGATTTTACAGTACCTTGCAAATTTGGCATTCGAATATACAATCAATATAAACTCATTATAGTTATAATTTATAATAGTCACAGTTATGCATTAAGCCTTAAATATTTTTGCTGGAAACATAAGGCTCATTCCTCCGTATTGGATTTTTTTGGTGAAGTTCTTATAGTCTTTGAAATATAAGTGGTTATAGGTTATCTGCACCTTTTCCCTAATTAATTTATTAAAATGTAAAAGTGATTGTATCATTTGAAAAAAAAATGGCATATATCCTAACTAGCATTTTTGTTGCAGAGGAACTGTTTCAAGATTGAAATAGTTATATATGTCTTCTTGAAAGTTAATTTACTTATGCCTATAATTATGAAGTAATAATATTTTAAAGGCTCGAGTGCGAGTCCTAGTGAATTTTGGCCTATTATGCCAAAGATTGAGGGTAAGACGATGGGTTCAAGTCCCAACGCACTATGTTGATGAAAAGACGTTGGATTCAAGTTCCAACGCATTATGGCCTAGCATGCCTTTATATGGGTAAGGCATTGGGTTTGAGTCCTAATGCACCATATTGATAATAATAATAACTAAAAAAAAAATAATGTAATTTTCATGAAAAAGCATGAAGCTTGTCCCACTTGATTTGCTCCATTCTTGAAATGAATGTGATAGCAGTGCATGATAAGTCTAAATAAAGATAAGTGGTTGACCAATGAATGTGGGCGTGCGAAAGGCCAAAATAATAATAGTTATCACTATGGTAATTATAAAAAGGGAGAAATTCTTTGAAGAGAATGTGACTTGTGATAAACATTGAGATTGCATACTCATTCCTGAAAGTGAATGTGAAAATATATATATGATAAAGATTATGCATAATAATGTACTTGTGCATAGTTGGATAAATACTACAACTCACCTCTAAGGGAGGTTTGAGACAAAGAAAGATAATGAATATTATTGTGTAGTTACATGAATATATCATTGGTCGCATACATATGATACGCCAAAAATATTTTGTCATGCCTTATGAAAGTTATTAAAAGCAAAATTAAAGCAAGAAATTATTTTGCTTATGATGATTTTGAACATGACAATTATTATGATATGATTCTCTTTGTGAAGGAGACATTCATTATATGGATGGTGTGACAAAAGATCTTGTAGTACAAAAGCAGTTAAGAGCTCTGAAAGAACTAATTTGTTACTACCCGGATGAATGAAATTGTTCATGACATTAATATTGTAGTAAGTCTCAAAAGAAATATTTTGATTTACAAATATATTAGCCAAAGTGGTTGGCATATTGAGACTATAAATGAAAAGAAGATTGAATATCTTTATATTACTATAATCATACCGGGTAAATATGAAAGGTTACCTGACTTTTCTTCTATTTGTACTACACAAGTATAAGCATGATGATGCAATCACAAGCCACAAGTAAACTAGAGGTTTACTGAAATAAATATTAGTTGGCATGACCGGTTGACCATCTCGGTTCAATTATGATGCGAAAAAATTAATTGAGAATTACATTGGCATATATTGAAAAAATATAAGATTCTTCAAGAATTATCTTGTGCTGCTTATTCTCATGATATACCAGTTAAGGTTGGGATTGAATCCCTTGATTTCTGGAACGAATAAAAGGTGATAAATATATGGGCCCAGTCACCTTCCATGTGGACCGTTTACTATTATATGATTTTAATAGATGCATCTATTCTATGGTCACATGTGCATTTGTTATCAACTTGTAGTTTGGCTTTTGCAAGATTGATTGCTCAAATTATTAGAGCACAGTTCCAGAATATAAATTATGATGATTTATCTTGATAATACTGGTTTAAATCCAAGTTGGTTTAGCAGAAATTGTATGCCTCCAATTATATCTAAACCATTGGTTATGAGAACAAAATTGCCAAAATAAAATTTGGTATGTGATGTATTATTTAATATACAACAGCACTTGTACGCATCTAGCCAAGTTATGATAAGTTCTCCCTATCACAATCGGTTCAGGGTCAGGAACCAAATAATTTCCATCTAGAAATATGAATGTGCTATATGATTTAATTATTCCACCACAATGCACAAAGATGGATCCCCAAATAAGGCTAGGGATATGTGTTGGTGATCCCAATAATAGGGGGAGAAAATGGGCAGCTGAAAAAGTAATGCATGTAATGAATTATTATGAGTACATCGAGATCCTCGTACGAGAAAATGTGAACTTGAAGTTCAAGTGATAATTCATTTGCAAAATATTGCCGGGCGTATTTGCTGATCCAAAGCTAAATGTCATATTCAGCTGCTAATGCTCCAAATAAAATAAAGTTCATAATGAATAGAGTCCATGGCATGCATAAAGCATAATAGACTAATCGGTTCCAAAGATAAAACTCCTTGAAGAATGAGAGGAGCAAATGTTCAAGATGGTCATAATAAGGAGGCAAGTGCTCTAGAAGAGTACCACGACATAACACTTCATAAGACCTCATGGGAGAGGCTCAGGTACCTGAAAATAATAAGATAAAGAGATCTCAATAAGTTATGTCTTTATTGAATAATAGTAGAACCGATATAAAATGATCGTCGACGATATTGTTAATATAATATAGCGCTCAATATTATTAATATTGACGAGGATCTTGAGCTCAAATCTGTCATGAAATTTGGACAGATAAATAATTGGCCAAATGAAAAATACGCAATGAAAATTGATTTCACATGAAAAATATGAAGTTGGATGGATAGTCCCAACACCTGAAAGTATAAAGCCAGTTGAGGTATAAATGTGTTCTTGTTTGCGAAAAAAAGAAAAAGGTCAAGTCGATAGACATAAAGACGACTTGTGTCACAAGAAGATTTGCAAATATCCTGGCATTGATTATATAGAGACATGTTCTCCTGTGGTGGATGTCGCCATTTCAGATTTTAATCTGGCAATACAAGAAAAACGTGATATGCGTATAATGGAAATCATTGAAGGATTTAAATTGTTCTGAAGCATATTAAGGTTTCCAAGAAATTTATTAAATAAAGCTTCAAAAATCCTTATACGGATTGAAACAATCAGGGCGCATGTGGTATAATCGCCTGAGTGAGTACCTGTTGAAAGAAGGGTACAAGAATGATTCAATTTGTCCTTGTGTCTTTATAAAAAGATCTGGATCTAAATTTGTTATAATCACCGTGTATGTTGATGATTTAAATATCATTGGAACTCCTAGGGAGCTTCCTAAAGTAGTAGACTATTTAAAGAAAGAATTTGAAATGAAAGATCTTGGAAAGACAAAATTTTGTCTTGGTCTACAAATTGAGTATATGAAAGATGAAATTTTTGTCCATCAATCAACATACACTAAAATGATTTTAAAGCGATTTTATATGGATAAAGCACATCCATTCCGACCTCATGAAAATAATGAAGAGCTTCTTGGTCCCGAAGTACCATATCTTAGTGCAATTGGTGCACTAATGTATCTTTCTAACATTACAAGGTCTGACATAACTTTTTCAGTTAATGTCTTAACAAGATATAGCTCTGCTCCTACAAGGAGACATTGGAATGGAATCAAACACATATTGCGGTATCTAAAAGGGACTATCGGTATGGGATTATTTTATGGAAATGATTGCAGTCCTGATCTTGTTGGTTATGCCGATGCTGGGTATTTATATGACCCACAAAAGGTTCGATCTCAAACAGGCTATGTGTTTACATATGGAGGCACTGCCATATCTTGGAGATCGACTAAGCAATCAATCGTGACTACTTCATCTAATCATGCTGAGATAATTGATATTCATGAAGCAAGTCGAGAATGTGTATGGTTGAGGTTTATAATACACCTTATTCGAGACAAATATGGTTTGAAGTGTGACAAACCACCCACAATTTTGTATGAAGACAATGCAGCATGCATATCCCAGTTGAAGGGAGGATTCATAAAATGGGATAGGACAAAGCACATTTCACCAAAGTTATT